CACAGCACTCGGGCATGCTCAGCATTATCTAGAACCGCGGCCGCTGTTGTGCACACTTCCATTTTAGAGTTTCTTTAATTTTATATTCGTTGTTTGTGATTCTGAACTAAATTTTATATACAAAGAATAATTATAATATAAATTGGTTTAAATTTAATATTGTAAAAAATATAAAAAATGCAATAAAAATATGTAATAAAAAATAGATTAATAAAATTATTAATGTCCATTCTCATGTAGGTATGTATTAATTCATGTCTTTTTTTGGTTATGATATTACTTAAAAAATACTTAAAAATAAAATATTCGTCCAATAAATCTTATGTGATATATTTGTTGTAATTAGTAATTTTTTTTTTTTAATTTAAGAGTTTTTTCTTGTCAGTATAACTAACTCGTGTATTTTCTTCTAACCAGATCTATTCCAGGCCATATCTTTGACCTTCCTATACAATATGGCCCCTAGTATTTCCTACGTCTGTCCTATGTAGTTATTTCTTGGTATTTCTCTTCCTCTTTTGCCCTCTAAACCTTCTAATATGCTCTCCTATTCTCCTCCATGTCCACATATCGTATACCTTAAATATAATTTTCTGCCTTTTGTGTAAATTGCATACATAATAACGTTATAATCTACTCTGTGTTAGCTGTTTCCTGTGTCTTTGCCCGCGTGCATGTATATCCTTAGATTATATGTAAAGCGTGATTCATTAACAAATACATATTTTTACAAATTTTAACATTTATACTTAATATTAGTTATAAATTTAATAATATAAAATAGGACATATTTTTCAAACAAGGTCTTAAATTATTAAATGTAATCTTTCTTATGTTAGGATCATAGATGAGGGCGTTACAAGTTTCATAAACTAAGTGTTATTGTGTAAATAAATTTGGACATAATATGATATTTGTCTAATTATTTCTTGTTGATCGTACAGTAGAACACTTATAACTCAAAGTTTCTTGAGGGTCCACTCAGACTTCCATGTGAACCAAGTTGCTTACACAGCGTATATAGCTAATACTTACTTTGTTTATAACCTGCCTGATAGTGATTAAACGATTGATAAATATAACTATAGATAATGGTAAAATGTAATGCAAAGTATTGAAATATTATGTATTTTACTAACAACGTGATAACTTATAAAGATTTAAATATAATTAGGTACACTAATTAATATAGAATATACCTATGCACAGTTACATCGTTCCATCACTTAGGCCAATACATTTATTTGCCATTCTAAGTAGTATAAAAAATATATTGGTGGTTATAAAGAAAAAAAAAAAAGTAAATTATTCACAGATCTAGTATTTTTAAAGTAGATATTCGTATAAAACATTTTTATGTCTAATGTGTACTATATAACTATTATATTTGAACATGAAGAGTGTTCTTCTGGGATCGGCTGTTAACTAACGTAACTTAAGAAAGTGATAGACAGAAACGAAACTTTATTATTAACCGGAATATTATTGCTCCCTACTGTTTGCCAAATTACCTAAAGCTTTAACAAGAACTTGGGCTATGGATAGATTTATCGAATAGCAAACCAGAAGAGGATTAAATGGAAGTAGCGGCTATTTAATCCGTTTCCGATATTGAGACGCTGTCAGTCCGTTAAGTTGCATTAATGTTCGGGGATAAAAAGTTACAGCCGATCTTTGGCGAGACTTTGAAAACGAGCAGTGGATTTTTCGCTCTTAAATCTTTAAAACAAATGTTTAAAATTGTTCACTTGTTTTGATACGAGGATTTAGTCGGCGATTTTTTTTTAGTAAACGCTCAGTGGTCCCAAATAATATTTGTATAAGTTAAGTATGTATTGTATATTAAAAATAAAATCGATTTTTTTAGCGAAAATATTCATAATGCAGTAATTTACCAGAGGAAGATTTTTTCAAAAGTCGTTCGCTTGAGTACTTCTGTCCCATTCGTGTTTCGACCGTGAAGCAATTGTGTTTGCATGACTGTGTTTCGGTTTGAAGGGTGAGATATGGCAGTGAATTTACAAGGTACAGGGGCATAAAACCTTTGTCCTCATGAATGACAACTCATGGGGGGTATCATGGGCGAAACAGTATACTCTGTTATGTCCATGGTTCTGTTTTTGTCTATAGGAGACAGATACCATTTTCCATTAGGTGGGTCGTCAGCTCATTTTCCATTCTAGGATACATAAAAAAAAATTAAGGTTATCTTTAATTTTTCTATAACTTTTCAGACTGAATCACAATATTATACTAAAAATATACATAATTATACCTTAAATTATAACACTTTATACTATGCTATTAATATATAAATAATATAAATATTATCTATGTTTTAAATATTTACTAAAATAATCTTGGCATATCTTTTTACAAATTGGTCATTTAAAATAAAATAAATAGTTATGCAAAAATATATAAAAAAAAATATTGTTAATAGCTATAACTTTGTATATTTCATGCACTATATTACACTGGTGGTAAATAAATACACATTACAGTTCTCAAATTGCATTGGTCCTTAATGTTTTAAACGTAGTGTGAATTTTAAATGACATAAATGACGGTTGCACTCGTAAGTTTGCATCGTCACAGCTTTCAATTTCTTGTTCACATGCATAAAACAATAAGTACCGCGACTTTTGTGAGTTCTCACACGGAAAGCGAAAGGCGATTCTAGATTTCTAGTTTATAATGGCCTAGCTAGACGTACAAACAATTGCATAATGATCCGATTAGGTGTTGTTTGTGATCGCGGTGGACAGTGATTACCTCGTATGCTATTCACAAGTAACTTCCTGCTACTAGATACTTAAGTTTATCGTTTTTTGCCCAACATCAGTTGAGTTCCAAATTCTATCTACTCTAAAATTAATAATTTCTTGTTTTATAATATATATTAGGTACTACCTGTATCCCGTGGCTTTACCCTTGTGAATCAGTACATAATTGCCAGTACAGTAAATAAATATAAACTACTCTTGTACCAAATTTTATTAAAATTTATTCCAGCATCAGATAGAAATAGTAATAAACATCCATCGGTCGTTAGAAACTATCATATTTATAATATTAATGGGACAGTTAATGATTTTTCTTTCTCAACAAATTAGAATAGATGTTAAACTTTAAAATCTAAGAGTATATAAATAAATATTGTACGTTTCTAGAAGGAAATGAGGTTAAAAAAGGACTCGTTTAATTTTGCAATAAAAAAAATTTGATTACCTTACGATTATTATGGTTCACTAAAAGTATGTTCTTTATAATTTTTGTGTAAAAAAAAAAAACAGAACTTATGTAAACATTATTTATAATATTACGGAATAATGTGGGCTTATATATGTAAAACAAAATATGTAGTTAACAAGTATTATTGTAACACTTCATAATTACCAATATTATATATAAAAAGAAAAAACTTTGTTATCGAAAAATCACAATTGACTTATAGGAAACTATTACAATGTCAGGATATTTATCACTCACAAGTTGTTATCCGTAATTGACGTCGCACTTCACGCTTTCTGCTGTTAAGGATTTATTTATTGTCCATTTATTATATATTTGGAAATTGTGTTTTACGTTTAAACTATTAGTAATAATATATATATTATTTTTATTATATTATTATATATATTATAATTTTTATTATATATTGATTTTAAATTATATATCTACATGAAAAAATATAATAAATAGAATTTAAGATAATCTTATAAAGATAAAATAATTATTTAAATAGAACTCTACATTTCCAATAACTTATACTCCGCAAAAGAAAGTCTCCGACATAGCTCAAAGAATAAGCAAATTGAAATGGCAATGGGCTCATCACATAGTTTAAAGAACCCATAACCGATGGCGAAGAAAAGTTCCTAAGTGGCGAATCCATACGGACAAATGTAGTGTAGGACGACCCCCACTAAATGGAGTGACGACATCAATTACATTGCGAGAAGTCAGTGGATGTAGGTGGCTCAAGGCTGTTCTTTATGATAGTCTATGATGGAGGCCTATGTTTAGCAGTAGACAGATAATGGCTGAGATGATGATGATACTACGTATCTGTGATAGTATATTATGTATCTCTTCATCTCATAATTTACATACATAAAAATGTATTTATTTAAAATCCACTTCACTTAATTAGTATTATAGCCGTAAGAAAATTTATTTTAATTTTAACATTATTGGTCATATGTAGAATGAAATGTTCGGCATTTACTTGTAAATAACCATACATTAGCTAACTTATTATTACAAATAAAAGATATATTCAGAGCGACAATTGAATTTCTTCAAATCTGTACAAGTTCATACATCATATCTATTTTGGGCTTTCCCCTAAGCCTGTGGTCAACGTGCTGTTTATAGTAAAGTCGTGAAAACAAAACAACTAGAACATCACATGTTACGCTGTCCTCGCGTCAGTCCCTTCCGTGGTGTCACGTCAAGCGTAGTTCAATAATAATAGGTAGGGTACAGGACATTGTCCTTCCGTGCTTTCGGACATCCTTTCGGTAGGTATGCACGTTTATAATTTCTATTTTTTTATACCTATAAATATGATATATTAAACATATAAAATTTTTAACAAAGACACTAAACTTTTTACTAACTATAATGAGTATATTGTAAGTTATTACTTTAGATTACGTTATTGTACGTTTATGGTTAAAAAAATTCAGGTTAATACAAGAAAACATCTTACATTCTTACACGTTTTTAGATCGTTAGTTTCATTTTAGTATTTATCTGTCATTTGTATTAACATAAACTTTCAGATTTTCATAATGTGCCTCTAAAAGTCTCCGCAGAGATATTGCTCAAGTAAATATCACAGCAATGAATATAAATTTAGTCATACATTCTGATCCGTATTCGGTCAAAGACTCCGCAATAAAAATAAAAACATCAGCGCATAATAATACTGAGCTTGCTTATAATGGTTTCACCGCAAGTGCTATAATAAATAACATTTTAATCGCTTTCAGGTTCCGAAGTTCGTCCTGAGCTAATCCCAGTACTCGTCAGTGCTTTATCGGAAAACTCGATCCCCGGATAGAACTCGTCTGTGCTGTGATCATACTGTGAACGTGTGAAGTGCAGATAGTGGTTTTAACCAGTCGCTCTACTTGTGATCGGTTTTAACTTTTTGTGATTTGGATCCTCCGGTGTGACCGGAGGGTGTAAGCGGGCCGTCAAAATAGCCAAAGTGTCTCCCATAAAGTTGTCGGCTATGGACAGCAACTCGGTGTCACCGATGCCGGAGCTGGCGCCAATAGCCGAGTTCGACAAGTCGCCGCCTTCGCCTCCCAACGAGGAGGTACCTATGGACGACCTTCCACCACCTCCGGCGACTATCTCCCAAGCGGAAGGAAAGAAAATGAAAGTGTAAGTTACCATATTTTGAAGATTTTATTAATTATCATTGACGACAGAGTAAACTCTGTTATGTTCATATCTATAGGTGATGGTTACATCTTTCCATCAGGTGAGCCGTCAGCTTGTTTGCCATTCTTAGTTACGCATTTTCAAAATATAAAAACTCAGTATTCTCAGTATCAATAACAAAATTCTAACACAAAAACTTTTGGGATCAACGTCGATGTTTACGTTTGAATTTTGCGCGGAGAGATTTGGAGTCTATCTTTAGTAATGGCGAGACGTTACACATGTACTGCGTTTGACTATACGGGTCGCCTAAGAACTATATGGTATTATTTTATTTATACTATTATTAACAAGTATTGTGCTATCCTAATTTACTTATGTACAAAGCAGAATTAATTCTGTTTTATTGTCTATATCTATGTGTATATTATATGTAGGTACACACACATACAGCTGTTCTTGTATAAATGACATAATTCATATTAAATGGGAGTCTGCGAAACGTATTAGAACTGTAAATACGTGCTGTAGCTTGTTATTAGCATCGTATTATATTATCTGTGTTATTAGTGACTTTTGTTTTCAAATTTGTCTGTTTTTTTTTATGAAATGATAGTTGAATGGTGACCCCATGATAAAGCTATCGGTATACACTGGCGGGGTCCAACAAGGGATGATAGGTGAAGATGAAGCAGGCCAGTTCTATCGTGACGAATTTATAATAATTAATTTCGATTGATTTCAGGAGAAACCACGTCGAATTTGACCTGATAGGGGCTCCTAGTCCTCTTTATTAATAATCACTCCTTCCCCACTTTGTGTTAGCCGTTATTCTTAGTTACATTTTTTTATTGATACATTTGAAATAAACTGCTAACTCTTAGTTTCTTTTATTTCACTAAATAATGAAATTTTATAAAGTTATTCGAATGTTATTCAATCATGTTTTTAGGCTAAACAGATTAATACGAAATTTAGTATACAGATTGATCAGATTCTGAATTAACACATATGATATTCTTTATTCAAAGCCTAGTTATGGTTGCTAACTTGTTTACCAAGCGTGGCAACTACTAGCAAATTCTCTCAAGAGGGAGCTCTATGTTCAATAGTGGACAGTTAATCATATCACCATCATCATATTCTTTATCATGTTACTTCATGTCAGTAAAACGGTGGGATGCAGCAAGCATTAACAGCAAAAATAATATTTAATAACCGAGATTAATTGATATTACCATCATATCAGTCCATAAGAAACGGGTCTCAGTCATCTGCATCCAATGATTTAATACAATGAACACATTTGAAAACCGTCGTTCTATCTAGTTCTTTTTTTTTTTGTTAGGCAGGCAAAATAGGGGACGGTCCATTTGAAGGAAAGTGGCTACCGTCTTTTAAAGTCTTTTAAAATGGTACTTGGCTATGTGTATATATACATGGTCACTACTTGTGAATTATTTGCCCAACACTGTATATGACCAGCCTATTGTCAAGATTCGTTTATATATTTGATAAGTTTGAATAAAATTAAAGATACGGAATTTATAAGAACATGTATACGATGGTACTGTCATCTGTAGTTTGCTACATGTGTTTGTATGGCCTTAGATATCAATGAAGCAGTAACCAAAGCAACAGATTATTCAACGGTCTATACTTGAAAATGCAGTTGCAGTCCACCAGGTGGCGTTCACTGTCCACAACAATGTTGTTTTCCTAAGTAACATAATGTCAGTGATAAAATGGTAATATAATGTAAACAATCAGTATTCATGTCAAAATTCCATAACTATATTGTATAGAAATTAGATAAGTAGAGCAAATATACAAAATAGAAAACATTATATCTTGTAAGTACCATTATTATTTACTGTCATGCGTCTCATTCTATAAAGTTATAAGGCCAATCTTTTTTCTCTGTCTAACACGATCAACTAGTTGACCCGAAGTAGGGCGCTCACCGCGTCCGAACCGAGTTGAGATCTCGGAGAGTGGTGACACGGACCTGACAAGAATCGTGCTCATGTAATCGGTTGCCGCCAAAAATTTTAAATTACGAACTTTTTATTTTTCGATCGATTTGTGTTGTGTTTTTATAGTGATTTTAGAGAAATATTTTTATACACTTTTCCTGCTAGTTAGTGTATTTTAAATTGTAGTGTGTGGAGCTTGTTTGGAAGAAATGTCGCGAGGAAAGAGTCAAACGTATGTTTACTTTATATTTATTTTCTTAAACTGTTTATGCGTTTAATTTATTAAGAGAATTATAAATTAAGAATGAGAATTTGTACCACAAAATAATATTATCTAGGAAAATAAAATAAAAAAAAACTACAGATTTGGTATTTATATTTAAATATCAATATATATATGTACTTATATACATAATAACTTATAAGGCTGTGATTTGAAATTTGTTGCCCTGAACTATATGTTTGTATGTCTGTATGATAGGCTCTAAAATAAAAATATAAATGAAAATTTTCCATTGGTAGAGTCACGTTTTCGTGAACCTACCTACCTACTTATCATTTATTTACAAATTTTCAGGCCGAAACATTTATTTAGAAAGTAAGTACAGAAATAATATTGTAAATTGAAAGATATCCGAAAATCACTAAAAAAGTATTTACAAGTATTTACATATTTTTTTTATTTGCTAACCTAATAAATTATTCATTAAAAAAAAAACAAATAGCAACAAAATCTTCAATTATAAAAAAAAAAACAATATAGGCAATTGATTGTGATTATTGTTTATTTTATTAATTAATTTTATTTTGGTTTGCTGAGTAGTTTTTGTTGTAACTTTCTAGAATTTTATAGAAGAGGTGTAATTTTTAAATGCTAACAATAGCAATTCTTCGATGGAAGTGCGTCTGTACTGTAATTGATGGTTTCTACAGAAAAGAAATTAATAGAAACATGGCGTTATAATGGAGGTACCTATGATGGTGAATGACGCCTTCCAGAGCTATAACGGCCATTTTATTTGATTCATAAAATGATTCACTTCGTAAAGATTTCGTATTACCCTGTTAACAAAATTACACCTAGGTAAGGTAGGTTTTACATTATCTCTTCACCACGATAGATGCTTATTAAAGATGGATGTATGAAATGAATCTCAATATGATTAACATAAGTGACTATTTTATCCCCTGATCTACTTACTTGATGGGTATTCTCCTACAGAGAGCCAAAAAACGTGTAGATATTTTTTATTAAATATAAGTAACTCGAAAATTTTACTTGAGATGTTGTACCAACATCAAATGAATTGTTATAATAAGCTCTTTTCTGTCAAGTTATTTAAAAATTTTTCACATTAAAAATACCCATTGGATAGACATAGGCGTAGTTATTTAAGTGGTGACAGGAGGAGAAAGTTCATGCCCACCCAAGAATTATCTGGTGCTCACCTTAGGATCAGGATAACGTTTTTATGTTGATTTTATGGTCTACATCCATTCTTTACCTTCGGAAAATCCTCTCAACTACGCCAATATGGATAGATTGACGAAAGTTTATATAGATACGAGAACATAGCTATAAAATCATATCCGGAGGTAATTTGGGATATTTTTTAAATATTTAAACTTTAAATAAAACTATTTCAATAATATATAGATATTAGAGAATATAAAGATCGTATTTATAGTACAATAACCTCTTTAGATCTGGGCTACTTCAATGGTGTAATAATGATAAATTATATTTCAAAGTAGGTACATATTGTACCTAACGCCTATGTCGTCATTTTTTATGCTCCCCTTTGTTTACCCCACGAGGCTCCCAGAGTTCATTATCACGTGTTCCACCACTGTTAACGTGTCAGACATGATAATTATAAGGGTGGTAGTCAAGTATGGGAATCATAATAACTCGTGGACACAGGAAGTTCGTAGTTTATATCCCTCCATTTACTTGCGCGCTTGGTAAGGTTGTCTACTATTATTATCTCGCTTTTATTGAAGCACCGAGATTACACGTACTGGCATTGACTACAGTGGAGGTATTTAGATAAATCTTTTATAAAATATGTAAATAAAAATAAAACACATTTAAAAATAAGGAATGAAAATACATAATGTATAAAGATAATGGCGTAAAAATAAAAAAAAAAGTTAAAATGTACTTGTTTATTTACAACATTTTATAAATTAATTAAGTAATAACTGAAATTTAATTAATTATTAATTGAATTAAAAGATCATATGTAAACGAATACATCTCAATAAACTATTTTTAATTCAGAAATTAAATTAAAAATAAAATTAAATTAAATATACCTATATATAAATGTAACCACTGATTTTTCAAGGAAATTGAAAGAAAAAAATATGTTATAATATTTGCCTATAAATCGTCGAGCTTTATAAAACTATATAAAATTTTGCAATAAAAAAAAAAAACATATGAAATAGAAATCTAATAATTAGGACAGCAATAATATATCTAATACTTTCCTAAGTATTAGATTCCTATTCAATATTTTTTTTATGTAGGTACATGTAGGATCATGTAACAACTGATGGTTAAATAGAAAAAAAGAACATTTGCTTTTCGTGTGTAGCTTTAAATTGGAGAGCTTAAATAAATCTCGTAAAGTTGTAAAGGAAAATTTCGTTAATTTTCTAAATTATGCCTACGCACACTTTATGTGAAGTACCCATATAGGTACTCAGACAGCATAACAGATTCAATTAGATGAGTTCACAGAGGGGATGGTGAATTGAAATTGATTTCACAAATAAAGTTGTCTCCGTTTTCGATAACTAAAAATAGAACGACTTAAAAATACATTATTATATTATGTTAGTAACTAGTGATTTAATTTATTAATCAGTGAGATTTATTAATAAATTTAGATATTATTATTTTACTTTTTTACAAATTTTTTTTCGTATAAAATCAAGTGTAAGAATATTAGTTTAAATGAAAGCCCTTCAAAAAAAAAAAAAAAAAAAAAAAAAAAAAAAAAAAAAAAAAAAAAA